CCCCAAAACCCCAAAACCCCAAAACCCCATTGATATATGGATAATTAAAAAAGCAGGAATTAGAATAAATAAATTAAGAATAAAATATAATCACTAAGTGAAACTCAAAAAATGTTTAATGAATTAAGAAGGGAAATTTAGTAAAGATAGCAGTCTAACGATAATCGAATCTCTATCAAGACTAGATTCGGAGCTCGAAATTCAAGATATGACTCAGGCAATATCAGTCCCTCTTTAAGAAATGAAAATAGGCCTCAAATGAATTTAATTGGTTCACCTAGAGAGGAAAAAGACATAAAATCAAATAAGTCAGCTATATTCCATAAGCCAAGTTCAAGTGCCGTTAGAATGAAGCTATAGCAAAGAATTATGATGAAGATGTGCTCTAAATTCGGTGCAAATGAAAAAGTTGCCTAGATAGTTTAAGAGGCTATAGTAAACAATCTTGCGAATCAAAGTACTGTCAATCCATAAGTTTTTGATAAGATAGAACAAGAGATTTCAAAAAAAGTTGAAAACACGAGCATTACTAATCAAGGAGAATTATTCCATGGTAATTCAACACCACATGCCAAGCTATTTAGAAAAAGTTTCTTTGGATAATCACCGATTCCTTATAATAAATCAGTAACTGACTATAAAAATAAAGATAAAAATAAAAGTGTTGTAGAAAACAATCAAACCTCTATCTAGTCTCGATAATCTTTTTCCAGAGATGCAAAATCGCTCATATGAACTAGAAATCAAGAAGGCACTCAGAACTCGACCGATTTAAAGAAGGAGTACTACCGACAACTAGTAAATGTTAATGTGCCAAACATGCAAACAAAGCAGGTAGGGCCAGTCTACAACTATAAATAGCTCTAGTAGTTTTTCAACTAAAGTGCTACCTAGCCAACTACACCAATATCATCTCAAAGTAGAGTTCTAAGAAAAGTTCAAAATCCGAATAATATAAGCGATTCAAAATTGCTTTCTGATGATGGCTCCTATGGACATTACAATAAATTAAACCCAGATGCCACTGTAAAGACCATAAAGTAAAATTTCATGAAACTTGTTTAGAATCCATAGTCACCTTCAACTAGCTAATCTAATAACAGGAATAATATAACTGGGCTCAATAAGAGTGCAAATCAGGCAAATAATAATAAGGTTAACATCTCCATAATGAGCTAAAATGAAAATCCTTAGCATAACAAGACTTAGTCGTTTCACAATTTACTTAGAGCTTCTTTTGGCTCGGGAAAGAGATTCTCAGAGAATGGAAACAACAGTAATTTAAGCAAACTTAAGGTATCTAACTAAGTAAATAATGACTAACTCTGGAAAATGTTGGAGACATTTAATAGTTAGAAAGAATAGTAAAAAGTTGACTAGGAAATAGAGAGACGTAAATTTATGTATTAAAAGTATAAGAAAGAACTTAGTGACTAGTTCAAGATGCAAGAATAACTTGATGCTTAGAAGAAAAAATAAAGACAAGATGAAATTAATCAATACAAAAAGTAAGAGTTACAGTTTTATATGGATGTTGAAAATTAAAAGTTCCGTAAGAAGAGGGAATAATAAGCACTTAAAGAATACTAGATAAAGACCATTTCAATTAATGATCTTAAATAGAAACAAGCCTTATTATTTGAAAAATAAATCGAGAACTAGCTTAAAGATGGTCCAAAGGAAATAATTGAAATGGATGAGTACTAAAAGGTTTTTGATTAACGTATGAAAGATCTTAAATTAAAAGATGATTTGGTCAATCTTGAATTAATAAAGGAAAAATAAATAAAGAAAGTGCAAGAGAGAATTGAGGTATAGTAAACCTACTAAAAAGATGAGTCATTTTTAGATAGACTTAGGCGTAAAGATTATGAATATCTTGATGATACGAAGATGAGGTCAAGTGCAAAGCAAGATTTTAAAATACTTGCTGCCTCATTCAGAGTAGACCTGAATGGAGAGATTAAAGTAAATGAAAAGAAAACCATAGAGCAATTAGATAAGGAGAATGAAGTAAGAGCAGCAGTTGAGAGGCAGAAGCAAGAAGATGAGCAGTTAAGAGCTGAGCTTGATCTTATTAATAAGTCTAAAGAGGTTGTAATCAAAGCATAAGAGGCTAATAAAGAATTAGTTCTGATGAAAGATCAAAAGACAAAAATAAAGTAATATCTCGAATCTAAGAAATTGGATGATGAAACTCTTGGAAATATATACGCTACACTTAAACTTCCAAATATAATGCACAGTGAAGAGTATCAAGAGTTTAGAAAGTCAAGACATAAGTTGCTTTCACAGGAATATATTGAACTTGCCAAACAAAAGAAAGAAATTAAGCCAGACATTAGAGATCTTGAAATTATCTTGAATAAAGACACTTTTGAGGAAATGGGATTACTATGATAAATAAGATTAAGAACTGGCTGTTAATTTATAATATCATTCAATTACTAAAACTTAACTAAGCATTCAATACAGCGGGGTTTTGGGGTTTTGGGGAGATCGGAAGAGCACAC